CCCCAAAACCCCAAAACCCCAAAACCCCAAAACCCCGCTAGGTAAATTTATATAATAGTATAATAAAAATTAGAAATATAATATTGGATTATAATGGCATAGAATAATAATAATCCTGAACACCAAGCAAATGGGGCGGCCAATGCAGGGGTATTGGCTGACACTGGCAAATCAAGAGTCATTGAAATGACTAATTTGTTTGGCGATGATGATTACGAGGATGAATTTAAGCAGGAGGATTATGGCTACACCATGAATGCTTACCAACAGAATGGATATGGTAATGGCTAGTAGCAACAAAATTAAAGTTATGATCTTAGTAAGCACATTAATATTTTCATGTTAGGTCTAATTTTCACTTTATAGATGGTCATAGTGTTGGCTAAAATGGAGTTTCTGGGAATGGACTGTAATTGACAGATAGTCATCTTAATGGCAATATGGGTGAAATTTACGATGCCAATGGACACCAGTAAATCTAAAATACTGAAGGTGGGGATTAACAAGCTAATATCTCAAACCAATAAACTGGTAGACAGCCAGGTGGAGGATAGATTAGAAGAAAATAGATGTATTTAATAAGTAGTTAAATAAAGATTAATTTAGAAAGGATTTTTAACTTCCCGAAATATACCAACTCGATCTTGAAGCCTTGCCTTCAAAGCCTTGGAGGGAGTAGCGTGATAAGATGTCAGACTACTTCAATCATGGTATGTGCTTTACTAACTTCTGCCCCTATATATAATTTTTGTCTCATTAATACCTTAATCATTAAATTCTAACCAATTTTAGGCTTTAATGAGGAGACATGGAAGAAACATTAACAATTAGTTTTGGAAAGGTCATAATTAGATTTACCTAAAATGAATGAAGATGCTGACTTGGCAAAGATATTCTCAGAGTCAAAGCTTTGGCATGCAGTTCTTGATTTTTATCTGCCTCATGAATATGGAGGCTTAGGAGAATATCATGATCAAAAGTACTCTCAATTAAACCTATTTTTGGATACTATGGATCTCCCATTGATTAAGCCCAAAACAACTTAGAACAACAAAAATGAATTTAATGGTAACCAAAAATTTCAACTTCATTATTATCAATTATGTTTAAATTCTAACAACATATTTCTAGTGAATATTGAGTCCACTGGGTAGGTTTAAAATGGAGCATCAGATATGCATCTATTTCCCAAATTGGTATTGCAAGAGCCAGATACAGCTAAATCTTTAAGTGATTTACAAGAGCAAATTAAGCTCAAGAAGCAGGAACTTGATTAAGAGAAAAGGTAGATAATTTCCCTAATTCATTTTAATCTAGAGCGCTTGAGGAAATTAAAAGAAACAAAGAGAAAGCTGCAAGAGAAGAAAGGATTGCTAGGCAAAGATAGCACAGTAAATCTAAAAGCAAAGAAAGTCGTAGAAAAGGTGATGAACATTCGAATTCTAAACATAATCATCATCATTCAAGTCATCATAGATCAGATCGCAAATCTAGTCGATCAAGGACTAAGAGTAAAGATCGTAAAAAGAGATAGAATGAACCAGAAACAGTTGAAAAAGACAAAGAAAAAGAGAAGTAGCGTGAAAGAGAAAGAGAAAAGGATAAACAGAAAGAAAAGGATAAGGAAAGAGAAAAAGAGCGTGAAAGAGCACGAGAGCGTGAATTGCGTGAAAAGGAGCGCGAAAAAGAGAGAGAAAAATTAAAAGAAAAAGAACTTTAAAGGGAAAAAGAAAGAGAACTCCAAAGATAGAAAGAAAAAGAAGCTGCTGCCTTGAAAGAATTGTAGAAAAAGAAAAAAAGTAAAAGTCCTGAAAAAATAGCTAAAAGAGCTGGGTCAAGAAGCAAATCAAAGGAGTCAGGAAGAAGAAAAAGAAGTAGAAGTGACAGAAGGAAAAGTGATAATCGTAGTCGAAGGAGCAATGATAGAGAAAAAGATGATAAAAAGGTCAAATCATCTGCAAATCAGAGTGAGTCAAAGAGGTCCGATGAAGCGACTCATTCATCCTCAAGGAAAGAGGTTAGCTCTAGAGACTATTAAAGATCAAAGGATAAGGATAGGCAAGATAAATCTAGTAGAGATGATAGTAAAAAACATTCTGCATCAACAAAACATCATTAAACTTCTAAAGATGAAAGAAGAGATGATGAAAGAGTGAAAAATCAAAATTAGAGCTCAAGTCAACAAATTTCTTCCCAATCAACTTCTAATCCTGACACATAAAGAGGAGACAGAGAAGAAAAGAAAAAAACTTAAACTGTGATAAAGAAAGAAGAAGTCAAGCCTCTTAGCAGACAACAAGAAGATAAATAGAAAAGAGATGATAGAGCCACTCATAACTTAAGCATTAGCACTCCAGGAAAGACAATTGCAAATGGAAAAAAGATCGAAATTGTGAGAGGCAAGGATGACGGTTCTAGTTAGATTATAATTAAAGACACAAATGTACCTAATACTAATCAATCAACCATTCAGTCATTAGCTGTTGTACCTCAATCTAAGATTGAGAAGCCAAAACAGCAGTAGTAAATTGACCATCACTTGGACTTAACAGGTGGGCTACTAGGAGATGACTTGGATTTGGAAGATACATTCGACTAAGTAACTTTAATATTGATATTTATTGTTAATTTAGATTAAGAAAATTATACCTGCAATTGCGAATTATGATGAACCCCTTGTCATTGTCAGAAGAAAGAAGTGAATGTCTAGTTAATGCCAACCACAAGGAAAGTTGTTGTGCTCTTTAATTAAGACTATTAAAAGTCCTATCAATCGGCTATGAATCAATACTAGAATAATAAAAAATAAATGCAGCGTACAGAATGACCAGCCAAACTCTCTTTAATATAAAGAAACTCTTAATTACATTCTTTAATTACTTGACCAATAAGGTTTTTTCTCTCCAAATGACTGAATTCTTTAGTCACGGGGTTTTGGGGTTTTGGGGTTTTGGGG